CAGCAAGTCACGCCGAAAAAGCATACTTTGTCCGCAGACTGGGCACGCCCAATTCTCCAACACAATTGCATTGAACAGCGAACATAGAGATATGTAGCACACCAGTGACACCAGCGCATCAAAATGCAGGGGCCGCAGCTCTAGCCGAGAAGCAACTCGGCCGCAGAACAATCGCTGCCAAACTCCAGTACCATCGTTTTGAACGACACCCGAGCCATAGTATATGCGTAGAGAGGCCCTTGACACGCCACAGCTGCCAACAACCTCTCAACTTCTGCACCCGTGTGACGAGGAGAAAGAGATCGCCAGCGCACAACGTACGTAGCCGCCGCCCAAGGCAGCTTACCAGTCGCCAGGACTTCATGGAGCCGCGCATGAAAGGACAACGGTTGCGCCTTCGCGAACCTGAGAACAATGTTTACTTGGCTCTTGCGACGCTCACGATCCTGTGATGCGCCAGGGCACCGTTCACGCAACTTCAGCACCTTCTTAGTAGCGTCCGTCGCGAAAGGCGCACACTTTGTGCACACCGTAGCCCTGCCCTGCCACTGGAGCGTGTGGCCGAGCCCTTTGTGGTACTCGTTAGTGTACAGCAAGGGGGCGCCAGGAGAATCAACCATCTGCTGGTCGCCCCCCCATCGATCCCCAGAGACGCGCTCGCGCCCTCCAGCGCGCTAGTGACGGCAGGGTGCCGCCAAGGAGAAAAATTGGTTCTTTTGTCCGACCCGAGGGAAACATCCGTCTGCAATTGTTGGGACTCAGTAGGTTGGCAAAGCCGCCCGTTGCCCATAGCAAGTTGCCCAGGTGCGTGGTGGTCTTAGCCCCAACCCCGCAACATCTGCATTGCCATTCGCTATGAACCTCGGAGTGCCAAAGGTTGTGGTGTCATAACTGCACCTGCTCCTTCGTCTCCCTGTCGGCGCGCGCATCTCACGGTCACCCCGTATCTTCAGCTGAAAAGGGCGATTGAGCATGAAGCCAAGGAAACGTGCGTCCAATTTATCTTGAACTTGTCGATGTAACCCTCCGCGTACCCAACGATGGGAGCACCTTCCTTTGCAAAGAAATCGGCCCAGGAATTGCCCAGCACCCAATCGTATCGCACCGTACTGTCCAGTTCGCGCGCCACTGCAATCGGATCGCAATGAGAAGGACACCAATGGAACCGTGGCGGCAACCAAACCATAAGTTCCAATTGTGTACGTATGTTTCTCAAAATGTTTGCATGCTGTGCGCCTGCTTCTGCATCCCGTAGTGACCATCGTTGGCCCTCTTCAACCAGGCTCGACAAGTCCGAAACCACGTCCGAGACGTGCGGGTGATGTCGCAACGCCTTTAGAATGCAATACCGCTCCGCCGCGCCAATCGTCTGCTGCACCCCTGGCAAGCCTCCGTAGATCGCTCTAGTAGGGTAACCTTGAGGTGACATCTGCATCACCGCCCAACCGCATCGCCGTAGTTCTGGAATACTAGACGGGTTGGCCGAGCCGTCTGTGAAGACCGTCGCAGGCCAGGTGCTAACGTCACTGCTCCAGTCGCCCCAGAACTACACAGGAGCGTCACGCACCATCGTCTGTTATTCACCTGGCACCAAAGGCATACCAACACATAGGTCATAGCAGTCGTCCGTAACCACTAGCGTCCGTAGGGTACCATGCTCCAAGATCGAGTCCCTGCACTTGATCAGCTCATCCGGCATCGGGTGGGACTCCTCTTCCTCCAGAAGTTGATGATTGGTAGCAGGGCATCGGTAGCAAAGGCGACCGATGTGCTCCTCCTCGGCGCCAGATCCACGGCACAAAGTAGACCCCGACATACCATGTTGGTGGAGCTCGACCTGTGTACGAACCATACCATAATGACCGCAATGCCCCCGCTGCCTTCGGGGTCTGCAATGCCGCCTGCCAACTTCCAGCACCTGCACGAGCACACCGTGTCCAGACAGGGGTACCAGAGACATCGCCATGATGTTGTTGCACCCTACGCATCTGCCAGCACTGTATACCCTGCCGTAGCAGATCTCACATTATCATAGGATCTAACCGTAACAGTAACCAGTATTGCACATGGCCGTCGCGTATAACAGTAAAGGAAATCACGTCCCAGTTCACTCGTAAGAGCGAGGGTCAAACAATCGCCAGCGGTTCGCGTGCGTTTTTCCTAGATATATGTTGGGTCCTTAGTTTCTGCCAAGCCCGCTCCAAACGGCCCAAGCTGAAGGATTGATCCCAGATAACCCGATGGTGCGCAAAGAGCGGAGCGGTAGTGGCTTCAAAAATAGGATCATACCAAAGGTCCCCTTGAGTAGCCAAGTATAACGTACTTCTACCACCTCGTCCAGGGCACCCTGCACTAATAGCAGCCGCCGGTCGTAACTCACGTATATCCGTGTCCGACACACCGCTAACCGCCGCACCATGTCCTGCCGATGGAAGTAGCCCAGTCCTCCAAAGCTTCGTCACCAGTTGTCCTGCACTCCGCTTCAATTGCACAACCCGCT